GGCTAAAAGGGGCTAACATACAGCTTGGGATGTAGCTTCAGAGGGTGCAAGCCCTAAGTCTCGGCAGCTTCCACGTGGTGTTGATCCTGTGGGTGCACAGAAGTCAAGAACTGAGGTTTGGAAACCACTGCCTAGATTTCAGAGGATGTATGGAAATGCCTGGATGTCCAGGCAGAGATGTACTACAGGGACAGAGCCCTCATGAAGAACCTATGCCAGGGCAATGCAGAAGGGACATGTTGATTGGGTACCCCCCACCTCTGAGTCACCACAGGGGCATTGCCTAGTGGAGCTGTGAGAAGGGGGTCACCGTCCTCCAGACCCCAGAATGGTAGAGCCAATAGCTTACACCATGTGTCTGGAAAAGCCATACTCAATGCTAGCCCAAATAAACAGCCAGGTGGTGGGCTGTACCTTGCAGAGCCAAAGGGGCAGAACTGCCCAAGACAATGGGAACCCACCTGTTCCATCAGCATGACCTGGGTATGAGACATGGAGTCAAAAAAGATCATTTAGGAGCTTTAAGATTTGATTCCCTGCTGGATTTTGGACTTGCATGGGGTCTGTTGCCCTTTTGTTCTGGCCAATTTCTCCCATTTGGAATGGGTATATTTACCCAAACCCTGTACCCACATTGCATCTAGGAAGTAACTAACTTGTTTTGGAACTTACAGGCTCATAGGTGGAAGGGACTTGCCTTGTCCCAGATGAGACTTTGGACTATGGACTTTTGAGATGATAATGAAATGAGTTAAGACTCTGGGGACTGTTGGGAAGGCATGACTGGTTTTGAAATGTGAAGACAGGAGATTTGAGAGGGGTCAGGGCGGAATGACATGGTTTGGCTATGTCCCCACCCAAATCTCATCTTGAATTGTAACTCCCATAATTCCCATGTGTCATGTCATGGGAGGTCCTGGTGGAAGGTAACTGAATCACAGGGGCAGGTCTTTCCCATGCTGTTCTTGTGGTAGTAAATAAGTCTCATGATATCTGATGGTTTGATACAGGGGGGTTCCCCTGCACACAACCTCTTGCCTGCTGTCATATAAGACGTGACTTTGTTCCTCCTTTCCTTCTGCCATGACTGTGAGGCCTCCCCAGCTATGTGGAACTGTGAGTCAATGAAAACTCTTTCCTTTATAAATTACCCAGTCTTGGGTGTGTCTTTATTAGCAGCATGAGAACAGACTAATACAGAGGTCAAAGCAGGAAGACTGCTTGAGTCTAGGAGTTGGAGACCAGCCTGGGCAACAAAGTGAGACCCAGTTTCTACAAAAAAATCAAAAAGTTAGCTGGCCGGGCGCGGTGGCTCAAGCCTGTAATCCCAGCACTGTGGGAGGCCGAGGCGGGTGGATCACGAGGTCAAGAGATCGAGACCATCCTGGTCAACATGGTGAAACCCCGTCTCTACTAAAAATACAAAAAATCAGCTGGGCCTGGTGGCGCGTGCCTGTAATCCCAGCTACTCAGGAGGCTGAGGCAGGAGAATTGCCTGAACCCAGGAGGCGGAGGTTGCGGTGAGCCGAGATCGCGCCATTGCACTCCAGCCTGGGTAACAAGAGCAAAACTCTGTCTCTAAAAAAAAAAAAAAAAAAAAAGTTAGCTGGATATAGTGGCATACACTTATAGTCCCAGCTACTCAGAAGGCTGAGGTGGGAGGATCACTTGAGTCAGGAGGTCAAGGCTGCAGTGAGCTGTGATGGCACCACTGTACTCCAGCCTAGGTGATAGAGTGAGACTGTCTCAAAAAATAATAATAATAAATAAAAAACAAACAAAAGAAAACAAAACAAAAAAAATGATAAAAGTGTCTTTTTCTTAATGCTGTTGCACTAAAGGTCTACTTTATTTGATATTATCTTGCCATCCATTTCCTTATTTGTTTTCACTGATGGATCCATGATTATCCCACCACCTGTTTGTCAAAACCTGGACCATCTGACTCTCCTAAGGAGAGCAAAGCTTTAACATTTTCTTTTCTTTCTTTTTTTTTTTTTTTTTTTTTTTAAAAGACAGGGTTTTACCATGTTGGCCAGGTTGGTCTCAAACTCCTGACCTCAAGCAATCCACCCGCCTCAGCCTCCCAAAGTGCTAGGATTATAGCTTTTTATTTTCAATACAATTTCCTTTTTTTTTTTTTTTTTTTGAGACAGAGTCTCTCTCTGTCACCCAAGGTGGAGTATAGTGGTGCAATCTTGGCTCACTGCAGCCCCTGCTTCCTGGGTTCAAGCAATTCTCCTGCCTCAGCCTTCTGAATAGCTGGGACTACAGGCACATGCCATCATGCCTGGCTAATTTTTTGTGTTTTTCATAGAGACGGGGTTTCACCATGTTAGCCACGATGGTCTTGATCTCCTGACCTCATGATCTGCCCGCCTTGGCCTCCCAAAGTGCTGGGATTATAGGCATAAGCCAGCATGCCTGGCCTTTCAATTCAATTTTGAAGTGTCTACTAAAACAGAGTTCTACCCATTACATTTACTGTGAGAACTACTCTTATTTCTGCCATTACATATTATATTTTCTATTACTTTTCAAGTTCAAGACCAGCCTGGACATCATGGCAAAAACCTGTCTATACTAAAAAAATAAATAAATAAATTAGCTAGGCGTAGTGGCACACGTCTGTAGTCCCAGTTACCTGGGAGGCTGAGGCAGGAGAATTGCTTGAACCCAGGAGTCAGACGCTGCGGTGAGCCATGATCATACCACCACTCCAGCCTGGGTGACAGAGGGAGACCCTGTCTCAAAAAAAAAGAAAAAAAAAATGTCACCAGGGCTATTTTTGGAACTTGACAAAACATTCAAGCTTCTTTCATGAAAATAAAGACCTATGAAAAAGAAGAAACGTGATAGTCACAAACAGATAGTTGACAATAAAATAAACTGCATGGCTGAAAAATGCAAAAAGCTGCTCTGTATTAAAGACATATATTCCCAGCACTTTGTGAGGCCAAGGAAGGAGACAAGCCTGGAGTTTGAGACAAGCCTGGTTAACATGTGAGACCCATCTATAAAATCAATAAATAAGACATGAATCAAAACATACTGGGGCCTATGATCTCAGCCTCCTCCCCCAGCAAATGCCTCAGGCCTTCCTACCCTTCAGAATCCACTGACCATTCAGGCTGTACTTCCTATGGGCCAGGCACTGTACCCTGTTCTCTGCCTCAATTCATCCATTTGATTTTCCTTATAACCCCACAAAGACAATTAACAGCATTTACCCAGTTTTCTGAATGAGGAAACCAGGGCAGAAAAAACTTGAGTAAAACTTAACTGAGACCTCGTGGCTGGGGAGTGCAAAGCTGGGAGCTCCACAGCTCATGGCCCTAAGCACATGACCTCAGCTCCCAGCCTCCCCAGCTGATACACCCCACCCCAGACCAGCCCACTGTCCCTGTTATTTTTCTCAGCATCCTTGGCTCTTGGCCTCTCTAACCTGTTTGTTCTGTGCAATCTGCCCATGTGCCCATGCGCTTGACTGTCCTCTCTGCCCAACCCTACTAGTTTCTGAGTCCTGGGTGGTATAGGAGTTCAGGAATAACAGTAACCACTCAGTAACCATCTCCTTACAGCTGCAAGCTCATGCTCTCACTATCTATTTCAGCCTCTTCCCCCCATTATCCTCTCTATGCAGACAAATCTGCCTTTTAATTCACTCCAAGGGATGGTTCTGGACTCTTTCAACTTCCTGGCACACAGACTCCTGCAAGCCTGCACTCATTAGTAGCTCCCTTCAAATTCTAAGGTGAGATGTCTTCTTTCTGGTCAAGATGAATCCATATCCCAGTGCCCCACCTCCACACCTCTTCTTCTCTCAGCTCAACCCTGAACAGAGTGACCAACACACTCAGTTCCCCCTCCTCCTCTTGCCCATCTCTGCTCTGCTCTCTCACTCCCAAACACAGACACACACACAAATATAGACCATATCCAAGAAGGCTGCCAAATATCCTATGTGATACTATCTTGTCCTGATGCTCCTGGCCTTCCCTGGGGAATCTCTCACTGCCTGTGTCCATCTCTGCTCTCTAATCTTTTCCTTCCTTGTCTGGAGGCATCTGAGGGCAAGGGCGAGGGCAAGGGCTGAGAACACTCACTTTGCAACCTGCTTTCAAAGTACTAGCTCCATTACCTGCTGCTGTCGGACTATGAACAGGCCTCCTTAACATTTCCAAGCCTCAGTTTCCTCATCTGTAGACATCTGGAAAAACAGCAAGCCCTTCCTTGTGAGGATGCTGAAAGAATTAACTGAGTTGCCTTTAGAGAGCTTAATGTATGTTTATTCATAGTGATTATACTTGGACATAAAATTCCCCTTCTGTTCCTCATACTGGACTTATATGGGGGCTGATCTGGCAGGAGTCCCTCTGGCTGCAGGGCTAGGGCGGGAGTTTCTTTCTCTTTTCTTTTCTTTTCCAGTTTTCTCTCTCCCTGCTTGTGAGGTGATGCTTCCAATTTGCCCTAGGTTACATGTCTAGCCCAAACCTCCGGGGCTTCCTGCCACTGCCATTCCCTCCTCCATATTCAGCCATGTCACCCGTGTGCTCAACTCCCATGCAGAGACTGACAACGAATTCCACATCTTCCTTGCACAGTGACTTCTATCCTGGCTCCACGCTTGAATCAGAAACAGTCTTCCTCCACTCTTTCCTGTCTTTCGGCATCCCTCCTTAGACGGAGTCGTTTCCACAATCGGATGTTTCCCTACTCCCTTAGACTCTGAAATCCAACACCATGCCTTTCTCATTAGTACTCCTTGTACGGTCCCCATCAACTCTTGCCAGATCACAAATGGAACCCCGAGCCCTCACTTACAGGCATTACACATACATCCCATCCTGTTCACCTCTGCAGTCCGTCACTGGGGTACACCAGTGTTGCTTAACCACTATAGGCCCCAAACACCCCAGTTACCCCTACCCTGCCTGGCCTTAATCTTCTTTTCACTTAGAAAACACACACGTTCTCTTCAGGGTTCAAGCTTCACGTACCATTGGAAGAAAACGTGTCCGCGTCTGGAGCTAGGATGACATCTGCGTTGCAATAGGCGCCACCTGCCTGGTGCCTCTGTGCCAGGAGGCTCTTGGCCACCACCTGTGGATAAGCCGCAGAAGGTGAGGGAGCTGAGGAAGGAAAACGGAGAGTGAGAGGCCAGCTGGTTCTGCAGCCCCAGAGCTCCACACGCCGGCCTCAATCTCCAGCCCCTGCAGCCCTCGACCCAGACCCCCTGTGTCAGGAGTGCCCAGCCAGGCCCACCCCCTGCCCGGACCTGCAAGGAGGCCCAGCCCTATCAGTACCCTGCCAGCTCTGAAGCAGGAGAGCCTCCGACAAGCTCAGACCCAGCCGGGCGCTGCTGTAGGCGGGCTCTGACTGGACCAGCCTTCCCTGTCCCCGAGGCCGGAGAGATCCCGATTACATCAGTTCCCTGCCCCTGTCCGGCGGCCGCATGAGGGACGCCCGCCGGCCCATCTCGTTTCTCCAGCACGCCCAGGTCACTTGGGGCCGCTCCGGCCTGGTCCTGCGCTCCGGCTCCACCTGACTAACAGTGAAGCCCCCGCGCCAACCTTAGAAGGGCCAGGCTCACTTGCACGCGCCGCACAATGGCGGTACTTCCGGTGGCCGGCGTCGGTATCCGCGCTCTACGCAACGAACCACAACTCCCAGAAGTCCGCGCGCCTGTGGCCGTTGCTTTCTCAGGCGTCGTCCTTCAGGGCGGGAGCTTAGGGCCCCGCGGCGGCGAGACGAGCTTTTTCCTGTGATCGCGACTAGCACTGTGGCTTAGAAAGCTGCTTCCCGCGGTTCTCCTCCTTGGCGCGCCTGTCCCGTCCCCCTTGAACGGCCCCGCTGGTTCTCATCCAGCAACCGAGGCCGAGACTGTGGAGGTGGCGCCCGGCATCCAGGGCGGGACTAGCGCCTGATGCTGCTCGGCCCTGTCATCTCCTCGGGGGCTTCCCGGCGCCTTGCCTTGTTGAAGAGAGAGACGAAGACTGTGTCTTCAGAACGGTCCAAGGCCGTTAACCCGGAGCCCGGGGCAAGGGCGCCCGCCACCATCCGCGCCTGTGGCAGGGACTCGGAGACAGCCTGGGCATGGGGACGCGTCCTAGTGACAGAAACAAAGCCCCGGGTGTGCCCTGCGTGGAGCATTCCGAGTGGAAGCTCTAAGCATGCTAACTGGAGGTGGCTCGTCCTGTGTGATTGCTGAGGGAGCCTGTTTGGCTTTCTGTGGTTGCTCCTAAGTGGGACAGGGAAAAAGAATAGGGAGGCTGGCAGTTAGAGATCAAGTTGTTTCGTACCTATTGCTGCAGAAGTTGTGGGACAGAGTTCTATTATTATAAATGGTCTGATGTTCAGTCTCAGTGCGTTGTGGGCCTCAGTGTGTGAGACCCACTACCGGCTGACCCGTCCTGGCTCTTCAGTGTGGGAGACCACAGGAGTTTCCTACGCAGGCCAGATAGGCGGGAACCAATTTGGCTCAGGCATCCTCAGCTTCTGGACTGTGCTTTTGTACCTGGGGTACATCTGTGACTAACCCTTGGCTTGACTGTCTTGTGGCTGACCTTGTCGATAGCGTTACCCAACAGTCATCACCTTTTTACTTGCTTATTTTCATACCTGGCTGTACAACCCTGCAATCTTTACATTCTTCTAGGAAATCTAGAATCTAACTCCCTAAGGGAGGATCTTGATGGATTCTAAGCTAATCAGAATGGTCTCAAGCCTCTTGCTATGTGAATTAGGCAAGGGTATTCTGGCCAAGGAGAAATAAGGCTGCTGGGAGTTTCTGAGGAAGGTTCCCTCAGTCTTAAAAATGGACATAAAAACAGCAGTGTGTCCTCTTTTGCCCCTGGACAGTGACGTCTGCCTGTGATGTGTAGAACAGTCACAAGCACACTGGCACCATGAGGAAGCCAGCCCAGGAGGTAAAGTCAACATGCTGAGAATGGCACAGCAGAAAGATGGAAAGAACCAGTATCTGTGATGGAATGAATCCTCTTTGTGCCACTGAATCAACATTGCCTATGCCCACCTCAGGGACTTTACATTATGAGATAATAAATGACCTTGTTTGTTTTTATTATAGAAAATTTCAAACATACATGAGTAGAGAGAACAGTATAATGAAGCCCATGTTTCGCCCATGCATCAGTTGCCCTCACCTAACTTCTTGGTCAGCATTCTGCCTTTTAACCTATTCCTATCTGCTCCCAGCCCCTACCACTGGATTATTTTGAAGCATATCCCAGACACATAAATTTATTTCATCCATAAATAAAAATATATCTCTAAAAGATAATGCTTTTTTCTAGAGTAGGCAAGTCCAAAAAAAAGTGTTGTCTGGGGATAGGGAAGATTGACCAGAAATTCCAGTGAATGGGAATTTGAGAAACTCTGATTTCCTTTTGGGGTAATGAAAATGTTCTAAAATGTCTTGTAGTGATGGTTGTAAAACTGTGAGTATATTAAACCATATACATTTTAAGTGGGTGAATGGTATGTGAATTATGTCCCAAGCTGTTTAAAAATCAATACCAAGACCTATTAGAAAAAAACACTTTTTTTCTAAAAAAAAAAAAAAAAAGAATGACTTTTAAGTAAATCATTATATAATCAATTCATCTATAATATTATGAATACTTTCTTAATATCATAAAATATTCAGTGTTTAAAGTACCCCAATTGTGTCATTTTTTTTACATTTTATTTATTCAAATTAGAATCTGAACAAAGTTCATACCTTGCATTTGGGTAATATGTACTTACGTCTCATATGGATGTCTCCTACATGTGCTTTTTCCCTTTATTTCCATTTATTTGTTGAAACGAGGTAATTTTTTTCTGTAGAATTTACCACATTCCAGATTTTGCTGATGCTGAGTATCCCTATGGTGTCATTAATCTGTCCCTTGTCCAATGATATGCAGGGTTAATTAGATTCAAGTTTATATGTTTGTTGGACAAGAATCTTTCATAGGTTGTATTTTCCTTCTTGCATCATGTCAGAAGGCACATAATGTCTAGTTGTGTACTTCTGTAATGTTTATTTTGATGAGCGCCTTCAAGTGTTGACTGCCTGATCAATCTATGGTAAAATTCTTCAACATTTTTCACCAAATGGCTTTTGCAGTCATTGATGATCATGGCCTACACCCATTGTTTCATTAGGAATTACAAATTATGATTTTCTTAGGAATTTTTCTTGTACACCTAAATGATGATTTTCTAATTCTGTCATTCCTTCTGCATCTGGAATTCTTCCATATGGAAAAACTTTCCTTTATCAGCTTTTTTGTTACCTTGAGGTACAATTTGTTTGGGAAAGGCAGAATAAATGCTTTATTCTTTCCCTTTATTTACTGGCTTTGAGAGAACTGATGTGATTTGCTAGCATCCTTAGAAGGTGGCCAGTGAGTATATTCTATATATGTGGATTTTTAACATATTGAATGTGTTTTAATTCACTGCAGTGAATAATTTGATTCTCCACTTGACCCAAACTTGGCCAAGAGGAGCTCCTTTAAGTTGGCTTCTGGTTCTTGTGACATGACCCCAGTACTCTTTGATAGCTTGTTTGCTTTCTGGTATGGGCATTCTGCAAATGTCCTGCCCCAGCCCTGGAATATATCATTTCTCTAAGGAGCCTGGTTCTTTCTAGTGGGAAATGTGTTTTAGAGACCACAATCTGTGCACTAGAAGTACTCATTACTACAAGGATAGCTATTATAGAATTCTTCAGTGGAGAATTACTTTTTAAGAGAAAATACACTTTGTATTTATCCTGATATTTCTGAGGTTTAGTGTGGGGAACGCTCCCGTGTGAAGCCCCCCCAGTGCTGGGCCTCACTGTGCGTGAGCTTGATCCCAGACACAGTTTCCTGCTGGAGGCAGTCGAGCTATGGGGAAGTAGGAATGGAGAGAATAAGAATAATGTCAGCCTCTATTTCTGACTACGGTGACCCTGGGTAATGGATGTGTGTGCTCTTTCGGTTCCTGTTGAGGAGTGGGTTTTATGACTCTGTTTACCAAGTTAAGTATAGCCTTTTGAGGACCAGATGATATTCCTATACTCAGATAAAGATTTATGGCTTAGCCTGTGACATTTCTAGATTGTTATCCTTGTGACCACATGTTCTGTTAACAATGATAAAGTACATCACCTGCTTACCTTTTATGACCCATGATTATGTACCCCCTCTGCTGACATTTGCTTTTTGCAGCTTTCTGTGCTTTTTGCAACTTTCTGTTCCCCTTATTGTATAGCTTACATAATGTGCACTGACGTCAATCCTTATAATCTAAAGGTATATATTGGAACCCTGGACACAAATAAACTTCCTGCATAGGCATTGCCTATTCAGTCCTCCAGACCCCAGCTTTCTGTCTCTCTTTACTCCTGCGCACCCCCTCTTCCAGGCTGGGACCCTCTCGCTGGCCGAGACTCCCCAGCGGGCTCCCCGTCGCCCACAGTTTAGGATTACAGGGATTTAATTTTTCTTCAGACAGTTTCATTCTGTTGCCCAGGCTGAAGTACAGAAGTGCAATCTCGGCTCACTGCAAACTCCACCTCCTGGGTTCAAACGATTCTCCTGCCTCAGCCTCCCAAGTAGCTGGGATTACAGGTGCACATCACCATGCCCGGCTAATTTTGTATTTTTAATAGAGACGGGGTTTCACCATGTTGGCCAGATTGGTCTTGATCACCTGAGGTCAGAGCGAGACTCTGTCTCAAAAAAGAAAAAAACCCATAGAATGTACAACACAAGGAGTGAGCCATGTAAACTATGCATGCAAACCATGCACTTTAGTTCCATAAACTATGGACTTTAGTTAAGTATAATGTATTAATATTGGTTCATTAATTTCAACAAATGTTCCACAGTAGTACAAGACGCTAATTTTAGCAGGAACTGTGTGGGTGGTGGTGTAACATGGGAACTCTCTAAATGGAGTGTTCTCAGTTTTTCTGTAAATCTAAAAATGTTCTAAAAAAAAAAGTCTGTTATTAGAAAAAAAGGTATGGTAGAGTTAAGAATTAGTGTGGCAATGTAAAAAGAGTGCAAATCCCATCAGTAACACTTTCCAATTGGACAATTTTGTTTCTTTGTTTTTGTTTTTGTTTCACAAGACAGCAATACCCTTTATTCTGAAAAAGAAAAAATGATGAGAATAGGAGACAGATCAGTGGTTCCCAAAAGCTTCAGGTAGGGGGAGAAAATGATTACAAAAAGCCACGATCTCTTATTTTCTGGGATGATGGAACTGTTCTAAATATTGATCATGGTGGTGGCTACAGGACTGTATCCGTTTGTGAAAACTCATAGCTGTGTGCTCAAAAAGGGTATTACATAGGTAGATTATTGCTCAGTAAACTTAACTTTTAAGAAATTCTACCATTGACACAAGATTTTTCTCAGTCACTTTGCAGGCCGGCACCTCCAGCTGGTGATGCCGGCTTGTTCAGCCATGAGTTGCATCTGGTTTTTTGTTTGTTTGTTTGTTTTTTGTTTTTTTTTTTGAGAGAGAGTTTCTCTCTGGAGTGCAGTGGGGCATCATATGGCTCACTGCAACCTCTGCCTCCCG